TAGTAAATTGTTCCTGAGCGGTTCAGTTCTGCAGCTCTTATTATCTTCTCCAACATCAGATTAAAGAAGTCACATGAAAGGGAGTCGCCCTGTCTGAAACCCCGTTTTGTGGCGAACGGCTCGGAGAGGTCCTTTCCAATTCTGACGGAGTTGGTGGTATTGCTCAACGTCATTTTACACAGCCGTATGAGTTTTGAGGGGATGCCAAATTCAGACATAGCGGCGTATAGGCAACTCCTTTTAGTGCCGTCAAAAGCGGCTTTAAAGTCGGCAAATAGGTGGTGAGTGTCGATCCTTTTCTCGCGGTCTTTTCCAAGATGTGGCGTAAACTTACGTTATGTATCTATTTTGTCTCATAACCAATATACATACATATGTACATACATATGAACATCTGCTTTTGCTTAAGATTATACTTTTAGTCTTTTTTCTATCTAGATCCTACCTCTACCCCTGTTCGTTCTAATTATGTACATTATTCCATCTAACAAAATATCGATAACAAAACTGATAAAAATATCGATAACAAAATCGATGACTAATTTGAATTTCGATGGCCAAATCGATAAAAATAGCGATAAGAAAATCGATAAAAATAGCGATAACAAAATCGATACCAAGATCGAAAAATAATCGATAACGAAATCATTAACAAAATCAATAAATAGTCGATAACAAAATCGATAAAAAGATCGATAAATAATCGATAACAAAATCCATAAATAATCGATAAAAAAATAGATAACAATATCGATTATTATGTCAATAAGTCCCGGGAATCACGAAAATCTCTAAAATCCCAAAATAGTTCCCAGATTGAGGCTCTGTGTATCTATATCTTTTTCTACATAATTACCTTTATTTTAATCTTTCTTCTTCTATCTTCATCTTTACTTTTATCTGTATCCTCATGCTCATCTTTTTCCTTATATTTATCTCTGTTTATACTTTTATGTTTATCATTTTCTTCATCTACATATTCCCCTCCACCTTTGACCTTATATAAATAAAGTGTCTAATTTGAACTTGGTCTTAATTTTTGCCTTTATCTTTACGCGTCTTTGTTTTTGTTTTTATTTTTATTTTTACCTTTGCCTTTATCCTTATCTTTATCTATGTACGTATAGGTATTTTTCAAGAAGTACTTGTTTCCGTCTCAACCATTTCCGTTGCAACATTTCCGTGTTCAATTTCCTAATTCAATTGGCTAATTCAAATTTACTCCCAACCAACCAACCGCCGCTAAAGAATTTTCACTTCAAAAAATGATTGCCGAATGTACTCGTAGGCGTCACCAAAATATGTAAGACGGCGACCTCTGGGTTCAGCCAAACATATTTTTTTCGAAATTGCCTTGCGAAAATACTTCAACATGAGGGGTGTACGGCCAACTATTTCCATTTGCTTTTATGGTATGGTGTAATATACACATACATCCATATGAATATGTAAATGTATGTAAAGTATACATAAACATAAATGCTAAATAAAGTTATGCTTATTTTATTTGAAGTGTTTATTTCTTTATTAAGTTGATTCATTAAGCGCATTTGAACGATAAAGCAGCCGTAAGCCTCCTGAAGTTTAACTACTACCAAAAATAGAGCTCATAACAGAAAGCGCTACTCGACACTTGAAGAGTGCTGCTATGGAATGCAACAGCCGGAATTTTGTATTGTCGCACGTTAAACGTGCTGCTGCACTGGGACGCCGCCAACCAACAAATATGTATCTAGTTAGATTTGGAATTGGCGGACGATAATGTTGCACAAGCTGAAGCGGCTGTTGCTGTTGATCTGGCTTTTGCTGCCGATGGTGGTGGCGACGCGGATGAGTCTGATTCCATGTCTGACGACAACATTCCGAACTCAATTTAGAGCGGGAATCGTATCTATTTGTTTGCACTCTTTCAGCGTCTCTACATACATATGTTTTGATACACCACACATGCCTACATACTAATGTTGCGCTGTTGCTGAGCGTTACAAAAGGCAAAAACTTGCTGACGCTGCGTTTCGCCTGCTTACGCTCAAATGCCGCGTGCCACAGTGGCTCCAGCCAGCACTGCCAAAATCAGTCACAGCTGCAGACATGCATACCAACAAACAAACAAAGAATAATATAAAAGTGCATATTTACTAGGCATACAACTGTACTCCACGGCACACTGAATCACAAAAAAAAAAAAAAAACCCAAAAGCAAATACACACCCAACTCCTTGTTTGCAATAGCAATAAAGCTAGCTCCAGTCTGCCCCAGTTAGCCAAAGATGCAACCAGCCTCCAGTCAGCTGAGCAGACTGTCGTCAGCTCGCCGTTGTGCATACGAAATGACGCTAAGGAATTCCCATTAATACCAACACAATCGAGGCACGTTAACACACAGCTAAACCAACAATCGAGGCAACAAGCACCAAAAACACCGCGAAAGTAAGGAGTGCAAAAAAAAACAAAGCAGAAGCAACAAGCCAAACCAACTCTACGAATCCATAACGACAAACAACAACCGCATACGTGCGCCAAGATGTCTCCATCATGCCGTGTTAGGGGCGGCGACGGCGGCAGCCACATCACCAACAGCAACAGCAACTGCAGAAGTAGCAGCAGCAGCAGCATTTATACCGAAAGTCAGACGTGTATGTAGACAAAAGTAGGCATCATTTAAATTCACTTTCAATTCCTCAATGCCAACCAATTGAAACTGCGAATGCCACAAAATATTTACAATTACGTGCGGTAATCAGTGGAGATAGCAGCTGCGGCTCCAGCCAGCAGGCGGGTGGTGGTTAAGTTGATAATTGTGCGGGAGTTGGGTGGCGGGAAAGTGCGTGCATGAGAATGGGAAACAGCTGAAGTCAATGAGTCCATAAAAATCTTTGTGGAAGTAAGGTTATAAAGATATTGGAATTTATGGTTATTGAAGTATTTAGAATTTGTCTAAAAATAGGTTGATTTTTTTCTTCTTTGGCATTTAAATATTTAGCTTTGGCTGTTTTAGCCTTTAATCCAGATTTTTTGCAGCGACAGGTCTTTCGTGCTCGATTCTTTTTTTTGGAATGGGAGCGCCTAAGTTTCTAGCCTTCTAATACAGCTTTTCTTCGTCTGCATACTTCTTGATTAGCACTGTAACCTGCTAAGTGATTCAGGACGAGTCCAAAACAGCAAGTCGTTTCATTTCTGTGCCAACTGACGCCAATTTTAAGTGTCAAGTGATGCCGAGTCCTTCTCCATCTGGTCTTTCTATCGCAGATAAGGCCTTCTTCCTCCTCTATTACCAGCATTGCGATCAGTGTTTGATATTTTTTTAATCCGATATGTCTACATCGTTGTAAAGCCCATCGCTCCTGCGGTATTCGCCATCCCCAACGCGCTAAGATCCCAAAGAGTGGAAATACAGATTAAATTCCAGAGATGGTCGCACATCAAATTATTGTGGTCATAATTAGAAAGTTTTTGGAAAAGCATGGATTTGTTAGCGGAGAACAAAACACGTGCTGCCCACACATGGTGGATTATTATCCCACTACTATGGAACATATCTAGTTATCGACAGTACCATACGCGGTAGAATCCAATAAGGCCTGAATATAACCTTTGATTGGTTTACCAAGGTTAGGCTGAATGAATGTAAGTCCATAAAAAAACATCATAAAGGGAAATACAAACCAGACTCCCTGAGGATGATTCGGATAGATGGATGGTCGCAGATCTTAAGTTAGGGGCCCGTTATGATGGGAAAAGTTTAGCAAGTTGGTCTTCGTTTCGACGAAGTTTACTTTTTGGGGGATAAACTTAGAGTTACTTTTCTGGAGTTGATTAAGTGATTAGAGAGTTAAAACCAAAAAAACAATTCTAATACAGAGATTGGCTTTGACTAGCAACTACTTAAGCAATTATTTCAATTGTTTCCAATATTAACCTATATTAATTTTTTCCCCCATTTCTCTTTCTCATTACAGAAACGAGTAGTCCCATGTCGGCAAGAAATTTCCCACCTTCGTTTTGGAACAGTAACTATGTGCATCCAGTGCACGCGCCGTCACATCCGCAGGTGAGTGACGGATATACTATTTATACATACATACATCACCGAAATCGATTATACTGTTCCCCAACTGCAATAAAAAATATCCATATGATCTTTAGCTTTGTTATCATCCTTGCAGTTATTCTTGCACACTATCGACTTTAAATAAATAAGTATCTACACATTTTTAATATATATATTTTTTTGTTGTTTGCTTATAATTTCAGGTTGGTGATCTGTACACCTCGGACGGTGGCTACGCAACGGATCCATGGGTGCCACATGCCGCCGCTGCACACTATGGTTCTTATGCGCACGCGGCACATGCGCATGCGGCACACGCACATGCCTACCATCACAATATGGCGCAATACGGTAGCCTGTTACGGTTGCCACAGCAATATAGCCATGGTACCAGGTATGCACATTTGTTAAATATGTTTTATAATATGCATAAGAGCATTAGATTGATTCAACTTTTGTGAAAAGATGGCTTTTTCTCAATAGCATAACTTTCTGCTGAATAGCCCATATAAATCAGACTTCAGAAAATTTGAATATGAGCAGTTGAAACCAAACGCGCGAGAAAAACTAAAAAATTTCGAACCAAAATAAAATCAGCGTACACACGAAACTAGGGCCGTTTTTATTTTATTTTTTCTATGATGTGAGGATTTTTAACAGAATTTTGAAATTTAAATGATGTGATTAATTAAAAAAATTATTTTAAAATTTCATTACAATAAAGAATAACAATATGGTTACCAAATGAAAAAGAAAATTCCGTAGATTTTAAAAATAATTGTTAACAAATAATATAATTTTTAAAATCTAATTAATTTTTTCGGCCCTTAATACGAATTTTTTTCAAAAATAACTATTGGAAATTTTTTAGGATATTTAGACATACAATTTTAAAAAGAAAATTTCAATACTTATTCGCCCTTCTTCACAAAAACATTAATTTTTCAATTCTACAGAATTTTCCCCTTTCATTTGGTATTCTAAATTGCACTGAAATTTTAGATAATTTGTTTTTTCCCTTGAAATTTCAAAGTCTTTTTAAAAAAATCCTGACGCCGGAGAGATAAACTGTACTATTTTTGACCCCCCGCGTTACTTGAATATTTCGATTTTTTGTGTCTACTACTGTCGCAGGGTGTAATCATTTACAAATGTTCCAACTTAGGCCAATAGACACCTATAAAATATAGTATTGTATCTACTATATATGTATGCACATACATAATTGCAATTGCATTTTTTTCTCATTGCAGACTGCATCACGACCAACAGACCGCGCATGCGCTCGAAAGTGCGGCAGCCTATTCCAGTTACCCCACAATGGCAGGTGAGTTCGAACAACAAAAAACATACAAATGGCACTATTTACACATATGCACATTAGGGTGCATAGAAAAAATACCGGCATTTTTTTTGTTAAAAAAAGATCTTTAGAACTACACCAAAGCTTATGAAGTTTTCCATTTAATTTATATGGAGGAAACCACTTTTTTCTTAGAAATGGTATAGAATTTTTGAAAATCAATATTTTCGGGTGGAAAACTCTGTTTCTCTTGAGGAGACTTCCAATAATAATACTGTTTATTTAATAATTTTTCAATACTAACGATTTTATTATGGAACCCTCCCTGGAATTTTTTTGGGGTGTTTGGGCTTGGTTTTATTAAAAATTTAAAGTCTTTTTTACGGCACTTCAGCAAAATAAAACTTTGTTAAGGAGAAAACGTATTTTAGCCATTTGACAAACTCGAAACTGGTTTCTTCGGAAAATTCGCTTAGTATTTCACTCTTATACCTGCGCTGACCATCCGTACTTTATTGTACGGGACCGTTATCTTTTTTTGCCAATCATTCTGGTAATTTATTAATATTATAAGGTCACATAACGTTCTTATTGCATGTTCTGTATTTCGGCGCATTGACAGCTCATAAATTCGAATCGAGGACCTCACAAATAATTTCATAAGTTATAATTTTGCTTGTTAAAACTTGGTACTTGTGAGTGTGAATTGAAATTAGAGGTTAATGGTTCTTGTTCGAATTTCTAAAAAACATTTGAACAGAATTTCAATAGTAATTTTTCAAAAGTTTCTGTGTGGAGCAAGGAATATTGAACAGATTTGACTTTTTCGTTAATTTCGTCTTTAAAAATTCATTTTTTGCCTTTCTTAATTTTTAAATTTCGCGAAGAGAGAAGATTTTTATTTGGCGAAACTACGTCACAAACTTATTTCTGATTGTATTTTCCACATGAGAATCTCTAAAGAAGGAGGCTACCAGAAAAATGTCGTTGAATACCGCTCGTGCTTCAGAAGAAACACTGCTTAAGGACCCTTTGTAACAATTTTTGGGGGTTAAAAGTTATCAAGTTAAGCTACAAAAAATAAGGCTACTACTGAATAGTTATGTGGTTAACGGCAAATAAAAAATCATTTTCAAATTGACCCGCCCTAATATACACGCATACATGTCATTTTACTGTTCTGCAATATGAAATCTTTGGTTCATCTCCCATGTATTTACCATTTCAGGAATTGCATAGGGCTTTCTTTTTAAAAATGTGTTCTATTTAAAAATATCAAAAAATACAAAAATAATTTATTTGGTTATATGTATTATGGGTTTATTGGAAAGAGCAAACATTTCTATTATTTATGGAACGCGATTTTATTCATATTAACCCAGTTTTCCAAGACTTTGGTGACAGTTTCTGGCTCTATTTCACGAATAGCTCTCTGAACACACCGTCTCTCAGTGGATCATGTGCGGCCTTTCCCATCCCCAGAGATATGATATTTATGACTTTCTGTCAAGATTTCCAACGCAAAAAGAGCTGTCACTGTCAAAATAACATATGATTAAAAAAACACACCAACTATATGGACCTTTAAAATAAAGCACTTTTTCTAAATTTTTTTTTTTTAATGTTCCTCGGATTTGGGATCGAACCTGGCACTACGGGAGGTAGTGGGCACCTCTAACCACTCGACCAATACGTCAACTGTGAACGATGAGGGTGTAGGAGGATAATGGCATACCTACATTTGTATATACATATGTATGCATGTACATACATACATTCACCTGGACCTTGCTTCGCCCCACCTTGTTTTGCTTTTCTTCGAGCGCAGATGAAAGTGAATCCTTTTCATATGTAAGCACATCAATTGTACGTTTGTCATGACAACCCCAGCTGTTGTAATTATTCAAAACGACGTGTGGGGACCCTTTTCAAGGCAATGAAATTCCGCAGCGGAAAAAAGGATGTGCGTTAAACCACATGGACAAATATTAACAATACATAGTACATATGTATGTATGAGCACAACAAACGTAAAAGTATCCCCACATATGTATATATGTATGTATGTACATATGTATAAGACCTCACCTTTTTTGCGGATGTCTTACGCGTGGTGCTGTGTTTGTTAAACTTATTTGGTGGTGGTTGTTTCATCCTTCACAAAATTTATTCAAACATACAAAAGTTTCGCTTTATCAAACGCATGTTTGTACATATGTATGTATATCTGTATTTACGTGTGCACGTGGTATACTCATATATATATGTATATGGATGTCCATATGAATTTGTACTTTTACGAGTCACCGCAAGTGAGGTCGAAAGGACAAAAGCCATAAAACAATAAAAATGGCCGCCAAGCTGGAATGTCACTGCTTGTCGTAAAGTGAAAAGAACTTTTCCAGCAGCTCACTCCTTTATAAACAACCCCAATAAAGAAAATACATACTAGTACTTACTATATAATTATGTATACATAAATGCCATATAGGCCGCGTTAAAGCAAAACTACCATTCAATAAAGTCTGGCGCGCATTGAATATTTTTTTTATACATTTAAGCATTTTGAAGCAATTTTCATGAAATTAAGGCTTTAATAAGGAATAAGCACAAATTTCCTATTTAAAGTGAAAGCTTTTTCTTAAATATATTCTTAGTAACCTAATTTCAGTTGCAGTAGGTTTCGTTATTTGATTAAGACTGACTGTACTAAGTTATGTAGGCTAGGCTTAGGCCTAGTGGACGTAGTACAGTTTGAGAGCTCGCTTCATTATATTATAGGCCCATTCTTTTGCAACCGAGCTACAAAAGAATACTCGCTTAAATAACGAAATACACGCAAAGCAACAATACAAACTCGGCTATTTATCCGAGTTCAGCCAGGTCGGTTAAAACATACGAGACCTGAAGAGTAGTGTTGTTAAGTGAAAAAACTGCTCTATTGTGAATTGTTAGTGGGAAAGTGGAGAGGGAAATTTTTAGTTTCGTATATACATGATATATATTTTAAATAAGTATATATATCACACAAATACCTCGCATAATTATAAATTTTTATTGTTTTTTGTGTCTACATCCAGTTGAACTAATCACATGTTTCTTGCCAGCTACCGGCAGGGTTGCTTAAGTAGCTAAAAGGAAATTTTACACGTTTTTACTTTGAGCGGTTCTTTTGTCGCTCGTTTACAAAAAAAAATGCAGCTTATGTATATGGGTACTAAAAAACCTTCAGACTTCATAGTGCCGTGTGCGCTCAGGTAGAAGTAATGGTGAAGTACCAGGATTGGGTAGAGATATAAACACTGTTGTATGCTTTCAATTTCGTCCTCATGACGGCAGCACGAACGCATTAGCAGGCAAAGCTTTTCTACTAGAATACCTGCCCATTAAGCCGGCCATATTTCCGGTGTCTAAGTATAGGACGTTCTAGAGTTTAGATGAATAAGTGTAAGTAAAGCCATGATTTTTAGTTAGATATCGGTATGCCCGCAGGTTCCCTTCCTCGCAAGCTCGTCTGTCGTGGCACCCTTGGCACTATGAGGGTGGAAATATTTAGTGTTATCCACAGGGCTTCAAAGCAGTCGTTTGACCCCATAGCTGCTTAGCTATCAGAGTCGATGGCATGTGAAGGCAGGCTAAGAGAATAGTCGATAAGCCACAGTTCAGTTTATTCTATAGCTGCGAGCTATGCTTCCCAATCGTTCTTAGAAGGCAGTTGCACCGATTAGACAGTGACCTCTAAAAATTCCTGAGTGAATGGATACCTCGTGCGTGTTTTTTGTCATAAGAGGTTTCCCCAGCGTTTGCTCCTTGTAGGGTGTTGTTCCTAGCATGTACATAGTTTAAAAGTAGCTATTGCTTTATCTGCCACTTTCTTCGTAAAAATTATGGGAGACTCTTAACATTACTCCGTCTAGGCACCCATATGAGTTTTATCTTTGTATGGGCTATATCTTTAGAGATCTGCGGCATTCAGTGAGAGATCTTGAGTTGATCATGGTTGACTGTTAAAGAATATAAAGACCCGTATTTTTCTTGGGAATTCTTCTTAGGTGCCGAGGGGCATCCTAAATAGCCAGCAGCTCCGCATAGTATACCCTAAAGTGGTCTGGAATCCGAAAATATATATTTATTTCCTGCTCTGGGAGCAAGGTTCCTCCGACCTTTCCATCGAGTTTGGAGACATCAGTATACATGTTTATAGCTTTTCGTATGTGATGAGCTTGTTGTTCCAGTCCCGTCCCAGGTATGTAGTAGTCAGTACTGGCAGGTATTGGTATGGGCGTCATCGTCCCTAAGATTTTCGAGTGGCCGGATACACCATGAGGCCAGAAACCTGCCTCCCTGAGTCTTAATTCTACAATAATGGCTACCGCTGAATCAATAACGTCAGGCGGAGGCAGATATAAAAACACATATAAAGCTGAACCTTGGTAAGTTTAGAATGAGTAAGGGATAAGTATCCAGTGATATCCACCAATTTCTGATGCCAAAAAATAAGTTAGGACGTACGACTGCTGTACATATATGTACATACATCCAGGGATCTATGGGCGGTTTAAAGCGCTATTTCTTGAATGTAGCCGTTTTGTGGCGTAGACGTCGGTAATGGACTTTCTGATCCATACCTCAAGGTTGTGCTGTCAAGTCAGTTTTCTGTTCAACTGAGTACATATCGACCCCTAAGCACCAAAAAGGTGTAAGCGAAATTTTTTTCGAAATTTTATTTTTGATGCCGAAATATTCCTAGAGTATCTAGGTGCATTTCTGCATCAAAAAGAGAATTAAAAAACAAAATCTTTCACCCATTTTTGGCAGTTAGGCCTCGATATATTAATGCATTTGAGGGCAACAGTGCCAAACCGATTAGTGTAGACAAATTTAAATACATAAATATGTATGTTAGGATATACGTTTTCTTCGTAAAGAGTGCCGTGATTATTTTTACTGGGTTGGCATTCAGACCGCGTTCTGCAATAGCTCGTTCAACATTTGTCGGTACTTAGCAGTTGCAGCAACCACCCTATAAGCGTACCGTTAGACTCAAATGGGTGGGAAGAGAACACCTTGCGGAGTGTCCCTTGTTGCATATCTAGTAATATATGCCTCATCCATTCCCGAACGAATTATTCTCTGATTTAGGAGAACACAGACAAAGTCCACCAGTTGCCGAGCATGCCCAATATGGAGCAGTGACATGCGATCGCTTCTCGGAGGACGTTATTAAAAGATTCTATTAAGTCTACTCTGATTAAATTTGTATCTAATTATTTAAAAAATATATATCTATATTGTCTCTTCTTTGCAGGACTTGAAGCGCAAGTACAAGAGTCATCTAAGGATCTTTACTGGTTTTAAATTTAAGTGCAACGCAATGTAAAAAGACACACATACACACTCACACGCAAATAGATATAAAAAAAAGCCAAGCCTATACGGGAATTCAAAACTCGTCAACTATATTGGTAAATCGTCGTTAATTCAATTCTCGAAGTTTAAATTTTATAAGTCTAGAAAAAAATAAAAAATAAACTATGTGCAAATCTATATGTAAATAAATATATATCTACATATTTTTAATTGCCTGTACTTGCCCTTGTGGGATTATGTGTTAATAGAATTTTAAGATGAGCGAAAAAATCGATTTCTACCGCAGCTCGGGTATATTTATATATTTACTAAATACTTATGTATGTATTTGTAAAGATTTTGGTGTAGCGGCATTAATAAAGTGAATTGCTTTAATTAAAAAGTAATCTCAGCTGTGTTTTGGTATGTTAATGCAATTTGTTTATTTTTAATGTTGCAACACCTTGTAACGACTAAATACGGATTTATATATAATGGGTTTAGCATAACTACAATGCTAGTTATTGAATTTGCAAAAAAGACAGTGTGCCGGTACTTACTTACTTAAAACAGGTTTATATTTATAGATAGAAACTTATTTCATTGTTTATAATTTATAAGCTACTATATTTGGAAAATTTTAAATTTGCCAGACAATTTTTGAAAATAGCTTTCGTGTTGCGGAGAAAGAGTACTTAATAACACTTGCTATGTACATACATATGTACATATGTATAACCAAACTACATATGTATATGTACTTGGTGTATGTTCGATTTTATTTTAGAAAAAAAAAAAAAAAAACACATTAAATGCGATAATTAAAGTTACAAGTATGTACTAATGCAATAAGTACTTCCTAGTTAAGAAATTGTAATAATAAATATAATTGTAACTTCGTTTAAGCTCTTTAGAAAATAGATCAAATGTAAAGAAATAAATCAATTTTCAATTCGAAAACAAAAATCTTTCTGAAATGGACAAAAAATAAATCAGTAAGTACGAAAATTTTATGAACGCATCAATTAATGCCTTTAACGATTTTTAGCAAGAACTTCTTTTGATGTATTCCATAACAAAAAAGGAAGGTAAAAAGAAGACATTTCTCAGAATGGACAGCCCCTATAGCTTCTGATTTAAGGTATGTTCCTCTCATATCCGCTAAAGTGATACAAGTATATAAGTTGCCCTTTTTTTGATATTCACGATTAAGCGATTTTTTCCGAGTCCAAAACAGTACGTCAGTCGTTTCTCTTCTGTGGCAGGTTAGGTTAGGTTATGCTGGCTGACCATAAAAGGTCTCACATAGGCGAATATAACATCCATTGCGTTGCCAAATGCGTTTACGAGCTACGAATGGAAATGTTGAGAAGGCTAAGTGGTTACTAAAACACCTCCGTCGTCCTCACTATCAAATATCGAATGTTTCTTTATTCCGCTAACTATATACTCCTACAAAATCAATGCTTTCACGCAATGTTAAAGAATTCTGTCGTTAGGCTATGTAGCAGTATCGTGCCGAGTAATGCGAGTATTTGCCTCCAGTGAAAATTACATTTCCTGCATTTATTGTCTGTCTTCTATTAGGCCTAATTTAAATGCTAAATGCTCTTAGCAAACAATGCCCTTTTACCAATCTTATCAGGAGCCTCGAGTCTGTTCTTCTTGTTGATATTAGGAAATTAGTATGTTTTCCAATCGTATGAATAACACACACACAATTTTTGCTAGTCTGCAACCCTGAGTTCCTCTCCAAAGCCTGTCCGCTTGGCGGTACATAAGCAGATCTTGTGAACTTTTGATTTCCCCAAGAGGAATTGGTATATTTGTCATTAGTGTGGCGGCTAAGGCCGAGGCCACGCAACGAGCGGCAAAGCGGCAAAGCGGCGAGCGGTTGAGCGGTGAGCGGCTTAAAATTAAAACATATGATATTATTGAAGTGGTCGTACAATAAGCGGCATTTCTGTATGGTTGGGCGTTGCCGCTCAGGAACAACAGCCGTGCACCGCTCAGCCGCTCATTTTATGGCCTCGGCCAAAGAGGACGCCCTCTCTCATTACCTTCCACACCCTTGTGTCCAATATAGGTGGACGGTTTTAGCCACAGCTAGCCTCCTTCGACGATGGTCGAATTTGTTTCATATGAAAGTAGAGCCTTAATGGCCGCCTGACGAATTATGTAAATGTTTTTTAATCACCCCGTTTACACAGGCAAATCTCAGATTATTAGCCGTCAAACTTGTTCTGCTTGTTATTCTCACATCTCAAAGAACAGTTACATTTCTTCTCTGTGCTACCGTTAACACTTTTTCTTGTTATGTAAAGCAATTTAAATATGTTTTAACTAAATTTTATTACAAATACCTTTTCAAACCTCTTTTCCTTGCTAACGTCCATTTTTGTTTACTTTTACATTTGGAATTTTTCCTCTTCTCCGCAAAAATTATCGATAAAACTAGATTGCATGGCCAATCTCTTTTTCTAATTACAGAGTATGGACATAAGCTCCAAAAACAGGATAATCTACTTATATGTAAACCTAGTATAAGCGATTTTGGCCAAGTTCAACAAAGCACGCCAGTCGTTTCTCTCTGTGCCAACTTACGCCAATTGGAAATGCCAAGTGAAGCCAAGTCCTTCTCCACCTGATCATTCCATTGCAGTAGGGGTCTCCCTCTTCCTTTGCTACCACCAGCGGGTTCCGAGTTAATTACTTTCAGAGCTGGAGCGTCGGTGCCCGACCGAACGACATGGCCAAGCCAGCGGAGCCGCTGTATTTTCATTCAATACACTATGTCCATTTCGTTGTAAAGCTCATACAGCTCATCGTTCGGAACTCGCTGTCGCCAAACGCGTAAAGGCCAGTAAATCTTCCGCAAAATCTTTCTCTCGAATACTCCAAGAGCCGCCTCACTGGATGTTGTCATTGTCCAAGGTAACCGTCCTCAAGGCAAATTAATTTACACGTCCGCACTGTTTGGCGTGGAGTTTATTATATTAAATTGGAGGTTTTGTACATATCGCTCATTTAATAATATAGAGAAGTAATTGTACGTGCGATATGTCTATTTAATCACAAATTATGTTATAAACTTTTATTAATTGAAGTTTTTTCTTTCAATTGACACAAAAAAGTCTGTATGCCAAGAGACGAGATTTTGCAATTTTTTTCCACGTTCGGTACATTGTTGCATCGGTGGGTTTCAACAAAAGCATACAAGGTTTATGGTACTTAAACGTTACTTAGTTGATACTTGGGATTTAAGTTTTTTCGCTGCCATTCTGACCCAGCGCCATTCTAAACTCTACGCTATAGTCGCGACACCGAACTCGAAAATTTTCCCACAACTTCGGTTCTTCAATTTTTGTATTTACCCTTTGAAATCAATGATTGCCGATGAATTAACGTGAATTATTTCTTTTTTTTCCACTACGCTAGTTTATCTGTAAAAGTAAATCTAAATGTAGAATAATCGCACTGAGCCTGAGAATCAAATTTCCCACCAATTCTAAGTTACCTAATACTTCTCGGAAGGTGAGGTCAAGCAAAATGATCGCTAAAGCGTTGTTTATAAATTTCCTTAAAATATGGGCGAAGCACAAAACCAACTCTCTCCTCAAAGAACAATGGAACAAGCATACAAACGTATGTACATACATACGAAAAACGACCGCAGTAGACATTTCGAAAAAAAAAAACGCTAAATGACTTTCAAATTTATGCGTGTTGCAAAGTCGGAAGTGCGATCAGCACGCCAACGCTGCACATCTGTCACCAAGTCAACAACAAAGTAGACCATGTAGTTGTTGCACAACAACGAAAACTAAACATTGAATTTGAGCAAGAAAAAAAACCGATAACCAATAAACAAAAGACACATGTCCCCAGCCTTTTTGGTAGGTAGTGGCTGACGGTTTGGTGACAAGTAAAAGGGCAGCGCTGGTGTTGCCATTGCTGGTGAGGGAGAAAAACTGCAAAATTCCATACGCCTTGTAGTTGGGTGAACTTATTAAAAAGCGATAAACCCATTCATTTGCGAATTGTTGAACACCTTGGCGACACACGCAGTGGCCGCCTGCCATCTTTTGCTGCGCTGCCAACGGACGAAACACTCCATTCAGTGCAATTTGACGAACAGAGAACATACAAACAAGCATACATACATACATACATCAACCGGTCTGTCGGCGAATGGTACATACTACATCAGAATTATTGAATTTTTATGCTAAAATTATATTTCCCGCTACTATTTTGCAACCCTACCAGCCGGCTGGAGGCAAGCAATTGCACCGGCTGCTCAATGGCTGCTGCAGCACCCAACTCTAATGTAGCAATTTATTGTTGAGTTGCTGACTCGAATCGTGTAATAAATTTGCTAAAAAGTTTGTTGGCAAGGTAGGTTAAAGTAAAGTAAAGTCAAAAAAAAAAAAAAAACACAGCCGAACGCAAGCAAACAACAGGTTTAACTTGGCCGTTTGTAAGCGGCTTCCCTACAATTCGACCGCACAACGTTCAACGTCGAACTGGCTTGGTCAGGTGTTTGGAAGCGCAAAAAATAACCAGAAAGGTTCCTGCTACATACACATCAGACGACCAAGCGCGGCTGTCCATCTCTTCAACGTTTCAACGCTGGCATAGTCACTCATTCGATCGGACGATTGTTTGTTTTATTCATGAGCGCGCGCGTTTGCGCACATTGCACATTTTCTACCAAATGTTGCACGCGGACAGCCAGCCGCCTCAATGTGATGCTTGCCGACATATCTACGAGTTATTGCGGCTTCTACGCAATCGCCAAACCGGCAACCGGCAACCGGCGACGAACAACTGGCAACGCCGCGGCGGTGGAGTGATCGTGCTGTCTCATTGATTCCTGATAAGTCAATGAAAGCCACATCAAATGACAACAGCAACAACAACAGCAGTGAAGCAGAGGAAAAAACTGGGATAGCAGCATAAAACATCGGCAATAACAATAATAATATTTTTATAGAGCGCGATTCAAGCTCACTGGCCCGGTGTGCGATCCATCAGAAGTTCCATTTCAAAGTTACAAATAAAAATTATACACAAAAACTTAACTCTATACATATTTGTTGCCGCATTTATTGTTTTTTTTTTTTTTATCAAGCTATTATGTATGGCTTATCCTACATAAACATACTTAGTTATCTACATACATATATACACTCGCTCTTAAAGCTTTGCTTTTGTAGCTTCTACGTGGATAAACATTAATTATTTATGCATCCCCTGTGCTTTTTTCGAGATGATAAATGGTGTCGCACTGATTGAGGCGCCTGCTTGTACAAAAAAAAACGAAAAACCTCTGTCCAAGTCTACAGCGTTTCTTCAAAACGATCGCGCGATAAGCAATCTTTGCTTAGCTGGAGGATACGTTGCAACGGTCAGAGCTGCTGTGACAGTAGCAGTCGCCAAGCAAATCATTTAGTAATGGTTTTCAGGCAATTACGATTTGATAAGCCATCAAGACGGTTACGACACACAGCATCAGTGTGTCTGGCACGTCTTTCCACTTTTGGCGTTCAGTGGCGCTAACACATGATCTTGATATGATGTTAAAGCTACTCAAATCTTGAACATAAAAATCGTAAATTTGTTTAAAAATATGTTTCTATTATAAATAAGTATCTTATTAAAATTTATTTAATTACTGGTGTTTGCAAAAAAATTTATGTATGTACATATGTTCATGAACATAAGGATGTC